AAGAATCTCATTAAACCGACAAAGTTAAACCTCTAAATCAAGAAACCATGAACAATTAATAAAGGTAAACTTTCGAACTCCCTAGTGCCCAAGTCTTTGCTAAACAAGTGTTCGCAACTTTCCTAAGGATAGTGTTTCTAGAACTATTTTCCGGGGCTCCTAGTTTCTTGAGAAACTAACAAACACATCCCAAGGGTTTTGGGGTAGAAAACGTTTTCTTAGCATCTTTAAGAGTATGTTCGGGTAAAGGAACAAGTCTGTTTATTTTTATTTTTTTTCGAATGCGAGTCTATTGATCCAAAAGTTTATTTTTTTCTTTTCTAGATGTTAACTTGGGAGCCGACAAGATTGAAATTATGTAGTACCACCTTAACTCGAGTTAATGGTCTTAACCTCTATTCTCGCTAACATATTCGAAAAAATTGACTATTTCAAAAACAGATATAACTGGTCATACCTACTAACTTACCCAAAGAGAAAGAAAGTCGGTATCATCGATCTGATGCCCTCGGATCTCCATCTAATCTCACGCACACTCAAAGGCAAACAACCTCTTCCTCTCTCTCAACATCTGTAACACAATCGGTCCCCCTTGAGATATTAAATTCTGGGATAGGTATCAGATTTGTGGTGACTCTTGAGCCAGGTTACAAATGTTGAGCCATGACGATGGCCATGACGACATGAGATAGAGAAAGAGAAAGGGATAAATCTTCTCTCTTCTCTGTCAAGATGTGCCGTTGCCTTTTCCTATATCTCAATGGTTCATAGGTTGTCCGTATTCATGTTAGCTTTGTATTTTCTCGATCCCAATTCCATCCCCTTCCTTTTCCTATTGGGGCCCCATGTTCTTGACGTTTCTTTGCTTCAAGGGGTAAGAAAAGACACTGCATTTTAAAGAGAAAAATCAAACATAGAATAAAAATCCACAAAAAAGCTCTCTCTTTCTCCAAAATCACCTTATTTCATTCCATCAGAAAATAATCACCCCTCTACAATTCACGTCAATCCCTTTTATAAAGGGTCCCATGTTTTTAAAGATCTGACCACTTCTTATCATCCTTAAAGATTAAAGATTTGCTTGCTAAAAAACAAACAACATCTGACTTGTTATACCCACTTCCCTTTTCTAAATGCTTTCCCTTAAAACCACAACTCTACTTATTTTCCTCATAGATACTCCCTATCTCACGACCATCTCAAAAGATGGAACCTTTTCTAAAGATTTCTTCCAATTAAAAGATGAACTTCAATGTTAATCTTAGGATATAGATCAACCTATCAAAAACCAACGCCCACAAAAAGAAAGCAAGCAAAAAACGTACTCATCAAACTGAACTTAAAACGTTGGACTAAACATATTTCTAACAATTAATCACAAATAAAATAAACAAGAAGTCTACCCATATTTCTAAAAATAAAATTAAAATTTTGTAACGTGCAACAAAATTTTAATTTTAATTTTAATTTATTAATTTTTTTTAAAAAAAGTGGGCAGACTTTTTAGTTTTTTATTAAGTCCGTTTTTGCTTCCTTTCTTTAATGATACATATATGGTTATTACAAAATTTTAATTTTATTTTAGATATGTGGGTAGATTTTTTATTTATTTCTAACAATTAACCCTATATAAAAAGTAAACAAAAAGTCTACCCACATCTCTAAAAATAAAAATAATAAAATTTAATTTTAAATTTTGTAGGAACCAGGATTTGCATTCAGATCAAGATCTAATTGCTACAATATTTTAATTTTATTTTTAGATGTAGGTAGATATTTTAGTTATTTATTATGTATGTTTTTGCTTCCTTTCTTTAATGATACATTTTATTTTTAGATATGTGGGTGAATTTTTTATTTATTTTAACAATTAAAAATCTACCCACATCTCTAAAAATAAAAATCATAAAATTAAAATTTTGTAGCAACCAATTCTTGATATTCATCAGAACTGAATAAAAAATTTGAATATTTATCATAAAATAGTGTTGGTGTTGAAGCCCACCCCTTTATTTATATATTTGTATTCTTCTCATTTTTTTTTTTAACTTCTATTTTTTAATCTATATAATTTAAGAAAAAAGTTTACATAAGTGCGAGGCTCTAAACAAACAAATCAGAGCATACCTAAAAAATTTCACTAGAAGAGGTGTCTTTGATGCCCAAATATCCTCAAATCGATCATCTCTACATCAAGGCGCATGGACATGAGAAAAAAATGGATTTCGAGTTTTGGAAATACTGCATCTTGTAATACATTTTTAGACAGTCAATTTTTAAGTTTTCTTAGATTTGCTCGATCTACACTTTTTTGAAGTTTTAAATTTTATAATCAAATATAAAAATATATTTAAGACTATCACAAAGATTTTTAGTATTGAAACCATATTTATCAATATTATTTGAAGGTGCACTTTACTTTAATTGTTTATAGCCTTGGTTCTATATAAACCACATCCATAATTTAAAGGAAAAAGTTTATATGGAGCCGAGGCTCTAAACAATCAAATTTGAGCCTACATAAAAAATTTCACTAGAAGAGGTTGTTTTGAAGCCCAAATATCCTCAAATTGATCATCTCGACATCAAGATGCATAGACAAGAGAAAAAAATACATTTCAAGTTTTGGAAATAGTGTATTTTGTAACGTATTTTTGGACCGTCAATTTTCAAGTTTTCATATATCTATCGATCTACATTATTTTTTAAGTTTTAAACTTTATAATTGAACATAAAAATATATTTTAAAGATATCACAAAAATTTCCAGTATTGAAACCGTATTTCTTGACACTACTTGAAGGTAAACTATAATTTGATTGTTTAGAGCCTAGGCTCTATACAAACCCTAGGTGGTTGACGCTCCCAAACCAGTGTTCCTCCAAGTCCCGGTTTCCCTCACCCCCTTTTATCAGCACTTGCCCTAAGAGAGAAAGGGAGAAATGTTCTTGTTGTCTTATCAACCTGGCTAAGACGACGAAAAGTCTTCTAAAGCACTCTCAACCTGGTCTAAAATAATTGGTCTAAAATTGTTGGTCTAATTTAGGAAAGATAAAAGTCTTCGAAAGCGCCCTCGACAAGAAAGAACATAAACAGGTGTGGTGTATGTGCAATCGGGCATGCATCCATGAGTGGTCCAAAATTATTGGTCTAACATTGTTATTAAACAATTATCAGTGCCTTCTCAAGACAATATCAGTGTCTTGTAAAAAATATCTATAATAATAGTTAGAAGTCAAACATAGCATACAGTTTACATTTGAGGATAATAGATTCTCAAATGGATTACGAAATGAAATAAAACAATTTATAAAAATCTAGACAGTGCGTCCAAACATGATAAATCTAAATCCAAAAAATTTATTTATTAAAAATTAATTACTATGAAAACCCTACTTCATGCGAGCGAAACATACACATTGTCCTACAAAACAATCTCACAGGTGTGGTGGATGTGCATGCATCCATGAGTGGTCTAAAGTTATTTTTATTTTTATTTTTTTCGAATATTTCAAAATAGTACTTGCGAGTGGTCTAAAATTATTTTTATTTTTTTAATGTTTCAAATTAGTATATGCGAGAGGTCTAACATTATTTTTATTTTTAATGTCTCAAAGTAGCATATGTGAGTGGTCTAAAATTATAGGGGTAACATTATCTACTCCATAGGCCGCCTGTAATGACCACAAAGGCAACTCACTACAATAGACCAACGCAGATCCTCCCTCTCTCTCTATATATATATATATATAAGAAAGCTCTTGCCCCTATCTCTTTCTCTCTCCTGCAAGGAACACAAGTAAAATACAACTTAGACCAATTTCTCTCTCTAAGACTGAGCACGTTGCAATCAACCGTTCAATCTATGTGGAAAATGAAAGTGTGACTAGGAACGTTCAAACAAAAAAAACAAAGTTTTTGGAAGTGACTTAGTGGTCCCAGGGGAAAATTTTCTCTCTTCACCCCCTAGGATAGAATTTTGGGGATGCAATGTCCTCAACCTAGGGACCAACCAGGGTTATCCAGTTTTTGAAGGTTGAATCAAAGTATTCAAGAACTAAAAATCTAATTTTTATCTTAAAAATAAAAGTGATTTACGTACGGACTTTAAAATTTTAGGTAAAATACAAAAAAACTATGTTTATACGTAGAAATTACAAATAATGTTGGTCAATCCAGCTTTTTTTTTTTTTAAAAAAAATTGTCCCTCGATCAACCTGAATTTTGATTTTTTTTTTAAAATTTTTTTTGTTGATAGGACAGTGCCCCAAGCTTTAAGACATTGCTCTACTGACTGAGTGACAATTTTGAAAAGAATAAAAAAAATGGGGTTGACTTACCTTCTTTGTAATTTTTGCTTATAAGTGAAACATTTTATATTTTATCTAAAATTTTAGGATCCATATATAAATCGCTCTAAAAATAATTATCCAATATTTCTTAAATGAATTTTTTCAAATAAAAAAAATTCCTCCTACTAGCTATTTTGCTCAAAGGAATAAGTGTATAGTTTGCTCGAGCAGAACCATTAACCCATAACCTAACCACAGCTAAAAATACTAATAATAAATAAATAAAACAAAAATCGGATTGAACCCTCTATGTGCTAGGAAAAAAAAAAGTCTCAACTACAGCTAAAAATAATAATAATAAATAAATAAAATAAAATTCGGATTGAACTCTCTATGCGCTAGAAAAGAAAAAAGTCTCAAGATTGTGGAGAGACCGATTAATTTTTAATGGCCGAGATCTAAGTGTCAAAAATCTCAAAATTCAAATTTTTTTCTTTTGAAAATAATCATCTAATAATTCTTAGATGGTCCCTACAATTTCAAACCAAAACAATCTTTTGTTTTTTTGTTGAATAAACTAAATCAATCCTCCCAATAGCTCTTTCAATGAGGGAGTAGAAGTACAAGATGCTCCCGCAAGTACATGCCCTCTTCTTAAACCACATGCCACCAAACCACCCCGCACGATCATGCCTATAAATAACTCCTCTTCACCTACTAAAACACTTGTCTCTCTAAAGGAAAGTAAGTGAAGAAACTGATCCCCATGGCTTCACAAAACTCTTCCCCGCCATTGCAACAGAGGCTCAAAGTTGATAGAAAGTTCATGAATGCTTTCTCCCTCCTCCTCTTGCTACTTCTCCTCTCCTTCATGTCTTATAGATTGGCCACATTACCCACCCTTGAAGGCTTGGAATATTGGTTTTGGGCGCTAGCTTTGGCCTGTGAGACTTGCTTCACTTGGCTCTGGCTTCTCTCAATCAATGGCAACTGGAACCCTGTTCTGTTCAAGACCTACCCTGAAAGACTCCCACTTAGGTATTTCACTTTAACAAATATATGAAAATTTGAAAATCTTGAAAATTGACGGTCTTAAAATGCATTACGAAATGCACTATTTCGAAAAGTTGAAATCCATTTTTTTTCATGTCTATGCGTGTCAAGATAATCAATTTGAGAATATTTAGACATCAAACAAACCTCTCCCCGTAAAATTTTTGAAGTAAACTCAAATTTGATTGTTTAGAGTATTCGCTCTGTATAAACTTTCCCTTAAATTTAATTGTTTAATTAAACTGTAATCGTGCTTTTTTTTTTTTAATAAAAAAAAGAAACCCCACTTTGACATGATTGTACGGACATACATAACAACCAAGTCAATCAGAGACGCTCAATAATTGAAGTTGTGGATACATAATATATATATATATATAAAATCCGTACACAGTACTTTGCCTATAGTCTTAGGCCGAGTAACTTGACGGAGTCCAAAAACACTATAATAGTTTTGATATTTTTAATAACTGGTTGTAGTCATGAATGATGATGAACCATGAGATTAATGAATGTTTTCAAGGTTTAAATCCGAATTGGAGTTACCGGCGATAGACGTGTTTGTGACCACGGCCGACCCATTCATGGAACCTCCAATTATCGTCATCAACACTGTGCTCTCGATCCTGGCCGTAGATTACCCTACGAGCAAGTTCGCAGTATATGTATCGGACGATGCATGCTCCATCATCACTTTCTACTCTCTGTCAATGGCTTCTGAGTTTGCTAGGACTTGGGTGCCATTTTGCAAGAAACACAATGTGAGTGTTCGGGCCCCGTTCATGTACTTTTCAGACAACACGGCTGCCTCCGATTCTTTCTCACCGGAGTTTCTCTCAGAGTGGAAAATGGTGAAGGTATTTTCTGTAGGAAAAGTATACGAAGAGACCATAGTTTGCCATTCCTTTTCTCTTTCTGGTGAATAAAGACAGTCAGAAGTGAATTTTTGAGAATTTATACACTTACTCATCCATAGAAATGACTATGTATCAATGGTGGTTGTGTTTATAGAGTCAATATGAAGAACTATGTAGAAGGGTTTCAGAGGCTGTGAGTGGGTCTTGCAAGTATCATCAATATATGAGGAGTGAAGATTTAGCCTTTTTCTCAAGGATTGAACGTGGAGATCATCCTAGCGTAGTGAAGGTATGATTGTAAATTTTTTTATTTTTTTATTTTAATTTTTCTGGTAGAGTACGACATAATCACGCTCTATGTGTCTGTCTTTATTATATATACTAGTATTATGCACATGCTTGTACATCATAGGTTAAGGATGGGTCATTTAGAAAATATAAATTATAAAAAAATTAATAGATAATCTAATTTGAAAAAAAAATCAAATGCTGCTTTTTTATATATCTCCTGTAATAACCATATTGCAATAAAATTGTCCTAAAACTTCTCAATATCTCTCCTAAAATTTCTCAAAGCCCATATATTATTATCTACCCATGAGCTTTTTTACTTTTAGGATACCTTCCCTACCTTTCTCTTGGGATAGGGTCCTTTTTATTCATGTGACATGTGTCAACCCTTTGAGTGTGTATGTGCTCATGTGTATGTGTATGGGAAATCATGCAAAGATTATTTACTTTTGATATAATGAAGTCACTATTATTCTTGTCTATTGAATTTTAAATTAAGTGGTTGTGAGTCGGACATTGACTAAATATAAAGTTCAAAGAATAAATTTCAAACTTCGTGATACATCCTATACTCGTATATGGGAGTTAGGTACCCCCAATGGCCATAACCGTCCCGTAAAAATGGACGCGTCAGATGAAAAGGCTATGTTTCTCTCTCAAGTGAAATTTAAAATAAATGGTAGCTTCTCTTGTACAACCCAGTGCCTGGCGAAGTTAGAGAGAGTGGTGGAGAGACGGAGGTGGTAACGTGGCATAGAGAGATGGTTTGGTTGTACGAGGGAAATTACCATTCATTTTGAATTTTATTTTGAAAGAGAAACACGGTCTTTTAATTTAGAGTGCCATTTTGCACAAAACGATCGTAGCCATTGGGCGTGCCCATCTTTTATATATATATATATATATATATATATATATATATATATATATATAT